AAAAAATGTTATAGATCACATCTCTTGGCCTAAAATGAACACAGTTAAATGGGACCATATATTTTTTGGCCTAAAAACTAAAATTAACAGTTATATCCCCATAGCACAGACAGCTAACTGCTAGAAGCTACATTAGAACAGGTTGTATCTAAGTACATTTTGATTGACGTCAACAAGGGGGGGGAGTCATTTTTTGACCAAATTTTAGCTGACGTCATTTGTGAAAGGTCCCTAATAATAATAATACTATGGTTCATGCGTAATTCCTTCACTTTTTGGCTTTACTTACTTACTTCCACTAATAACTCCTAGAGGAATATACGTTGCTAACAGATTCTCTCAGTAGGTGGTTGGCGGGTGCTCTGACGTGGTTTGCTCCTTTTTACTTATGAAACATCTATTGTCCTTATCTGTCCTCCTTCTTTTTTGTGTTTGTTACTCGCTTGTAACACCTCCAGTCTTTGGCACTTATAATATGACCTAATTGTGTTGCAAGTGCCGTAAAACTCTTACTAAAACTAAACTCTCTCAAACCATCACATTCCCAACAGGCAGTGCTACTGGCTGAAGTGTCTTTAGTCCATTCTCAAAGGTTGGATATTAACATGTTCTAATGTACGTATGTTGTATAATAATATTTTCCTTCTTCATTTTTTTGTGAGCATTCACTGTTGTGTGTTGATTGTAATCACCTTAGTTGACTGTTCAGTACTCATTAGAGCAGGTGTTTCAATGCTTTTTCCTCAAAGGCAAGTTTTTAGATACAGTTGATTTCATAGAGTGGGTGGTTGGCAGGTGCTCTGGTCTGGTTTGCTCCTTTTTCCTATCAAAGATCTATCGTCTCTCTCTCCCCTCCTTCTTTTTTGTGTTTATTTCCCTCTTGTAACACCTCTAATCTTCGACACTTATACAATCTTTTTGTGTTGCAAGTGCTGTAAAACTCTTAGTAAAACTAAAAAAACTGATTACATAGAACTTGATGTGAAGAGCGATGTAAAATGTTTTTCAGTGGCATGGCGTGAGGAGAGGACGCGTGGTGCAGAGACAATCTCCAGAGTGACCCGGCTGGACTGTATTCGCAAGGCTGTAGAAAGGTAAACCTTTGTTTTTTTAAATGATCTGCGCAAAATTGTACTCTGAATGTGATGCATCTTCGATCAACTTTTTCTACGAACCCATGTCAGAAAACTATTTTGTGTGGTTGGCGGGTGCTCTGGTGGGGTTTGCTCCTTCTTTCCTATTAAACATCTATTGTCCTTATCTAACCTTCTTTTTTATGTTTGTCAATCTCTTGTAACACCTCTAATCTTTGGCACCTATATGACCTTATTGTGTTTCAAGTGCCATTAAATGCTTACTAAGACTAAAAGAAAACTGTTCTGTGAACTTCATGTTCAGTTGAATACTCCTGCTCCTGTGTTCTTTCGTCTAAAAAAAATTGAAACGTTTATTTATTTATTTTTTGCCAATGTCATAGGGGAATTATAAACATAATGTCACTCTCCACACTTAGAGCTCGTCTCCTTATGCGCGACGCGATGTTGTGTCGCATATGTGGTCCTTGCTGCTCTAAAATCAGTCAAGTAAGATTATAAAGAAACCTTCTCCTTACTCGCGACTCGACATCTAGCTGCATGCGATCATCGCCTGCGATTGGTCCATGAAGCGATCGAGGGTCTCGTCGCGTGCCTCAGACTGGGGGTGTGACAGGTTTAGAGCATCACCATTGGTCAAAATACCTAGCTGAGGAGTGCCTGTCGACACTCCGTTTATGGTGTGGTGTGGTGTGGAGTGGTGTGGTGTGGTGGTGGTGGTGGTGGTGGTGTGTGTGCGTGAGTGTGTGTGTGTGTGTGTGTGTGTGTGTGTGTGTGTGTGTGTGTGTGTGTGTGAGTGTGTGTGTGTGTGTGTTTTTGTTTAGGATGTTTATCTTCAATTCGACCCAATGCAAGTTTTGTGAATCTAACTTTGTTGTTTTGTTTCTTTAACGGACAACAGGAGGAGGAAGAAGAGGAGGAGGAGGAAGAGGAGGAGAAGGATTGGCCATGTACTGAATTTAAAATGTTGGCAGCTCATAAAACTCGCATCTGACAGACTTTGTACTTCCTAGTCCATCTTGACATTACAAGTTGCCACTGTCTCTCTTTTATGAATTGCCAGTCGCACGAGGCTTAGCCAGTGGCGCGCGGCTAAACGTCGCGTCGCGCATAAGGAGACAGTTTTGTCTCTTTTGTCGCACGCGACTGATAATTTTGGCGCGATGTGGTTGCGCATAAGGATACACACTTCGCGACTCATTGCTGGCGACTGACGCGCGCGACTGAACATCACATCGTGCATAAGGAGACATAGGCTTATTTGTTGTTCAAACAAATACATTGAAATATTATGTGCACCATTTAATTTATCTGTAATAGCTGATGGGGTGTTTCTAAAGTAATGGCGCACTCTTACACTTCTGTCTTTTGTTGACTTACTTGTAGGTGTGGAGTCAATTCACCGTCAATGTTGCATGCTGAGGGAATGTGCCCTGAGAGTAACAGGGTACTTGAAGTGTTATATAGACCAAGCGTGATTGCAGTAACGGAGCTAAAGTATAATTGATAGACAAGTGTAGAGAAGGTGTTCTTAATCGAGTGAAACATTTTAGATTTCCGTCTCATTGAGATCTAGGCCGTACTATATATCTCTACCGTACTTGATAAATCAAAGGGCCACTGATCAACTGCAATCATGTTAACTATACTTCTGAGCAATAGTGTCTCTAAATGTACGTGAAATTTGCAATGTCAAGCTGTTTCATAACTCTCCCTCTAACAGATTTCTAAGTCCTTCTCTCAGGTTTTACTTGGTACATTTGAAAGGGGTTTTCAATTGATGGAAGTGAAAGTATATGTTAAAGGCCTTGGAAACAGAAAAAAACCCCTAATGAGATGTGAATAATGTGAAGGGATGCATCTGGTCGCTTTTCAGCCATTGGTTATGTTTGAACATGTCCTTTCTTTCAAACCTGTTTTATGATTTTATGACATATGTATTCTTTTTATTGAAATGACTTATAATAAATGAGTAGATACAATCCAGGAGCTCTTGATAAAAAAGGAATTTGTCATTGATTGTACTGTTATCTCTGTAATTTCCCTGTGGCTAGATCTCGAATTTTAGATTTGATTCTTGACTCCGAAGACAAATTGCTGTGTAGTATCTCTTATGAGCATTGATGCTTCTCTAAAAATACATAAGTGTTGCTTATTTTATAAACCTTTTGTATGTATTGTTTTCATTTTTACTCTTTTTACAAGGAAAAAAACTCCAACTTTATGTCTTTTTGATTCAGACTGGCTGAAGAGTTGAAATTGGAACAACCTGAAAAACAGGTGTTGCTGACTGTGTTCAGCTCGCACGTCAGAGTGCTGGCTGGTGGAAGCACAGATAACATACCTTTCTTGGGCCCTGTGGATAACAAGACATTTGAGCAGTTGTTGGAAATGGGTTTAAATCTTGCAAATGACTACCCTTTGAAACCGCTCTCAGAGTCTCATGCGTAAGTTCTAGTGATCTCAAGTTATTTGTTTTGTTTGTTTTAGTAGAGGTTTTACGGCGCTCACAACTTCATAAGGTCATATGAGCGCCAAGGGGTGGATGTCAACAGAGAAGTCCTTACAGGGAATCAGACTTACTCTGCTCGCCTTTCTAGCTTCAACAACACAAAGTCTGCTTCGACTATCAAGGCACCCCAGGAATAGCGGGTCACAAGAGTGTGACAAACATACAAAAGAAGTAGAGGAAAATGACGATAGTAAAGATTAGGAAAGAAAAAGCTGCAGTTCTCTGTTGCAGTACAGGCAGTTATGAGCATGACATTGATGAATCAGCCCATTTACAATTCTACTGTGCATAAGAACATGTTAATGTCCCCCCTTTGGGAATGGCCTAAAGACACTTCAGTCAGTAGCACCGCCCCGGGGGGTCTTGTTCGCCTATTTAAAAAAAAGTTATTATCATGTTACATGATGACAACTTTTGTAACACAACACTGGTTTTTTTTGAGTGTGAGGTATTAGAAATGATGACAATCTTATTACAAAAATATTTACAGAAGATGGATGTTGATATGCTGCATGTTGCAAGTGAAAGCATATATTATATTGGCTGCTCTGTTGGAACTCAAATGGTTTATTATTGTATCCCCCTTTGTAATTATCTTGTCATGAGCAACAGTGAAATGAGGAAGAGTGTATATAATGGAAAAATGTGGTAGCCTATTACATGGTGCAAAGGCGTTAGCTCTGCAACTGCATGAAATCATACAATATAAGAATGTGTGAAGTTTCAAGATTTTACTAATTTTTTTCCAGAAGAGAAGACAAGTTTTCAGAAAAGGTCAGGTTTTTTTAAGATCCTCGTGTCTTAGTCAGGATTAAGATGTGTGTTCTAATCAGAATTTCTTTTTGAAGACACAATATAGTGGTTGAAAGTTCATTCCTTTCAGTGTCCAACTGCATTCATTGTAGCTTATAGATCTGTTTTTGGTTTCGCTTAGAGCATGCAGTTTTGCTTTTGTATGCTCGTGCATGCTGTGTGCTTAGTTTGACCCAGCATTTCAGTTTATGGCTGAAGAGGCACCCTGGTTAAAGACAATGTTAGACAGGGTCAATGACTCATTGTGTACAATATTACGCTGTTATCAATCTTTAAAAACTTTTTTAAATAGAGAAACATTTTTATTTTGTGAATTGAAATACCTAATATAAACACTGCTTCATGTTCACAGGTCAATTGATGCAGCTGTTAAAGCCCTGTACACCACAGGCTGCACTGCCCTGGGCCCAGCTTTATCAATCTGTGCAGGTTTTGTCAGCAAAATTCCAGGCTCTGAGATTGTGCTGTGTACAGATGGGGAGCCTAATGTTGGAGTCGGTTCACTGAATCGTAGTCAAAATCAAGATGGGGTAGAATTCTACCAGATGGTGAGTGTAAAAAAATATTGCACAAATAGCCATGTTTTATAGCATTTGCTCCTTTACCCTTCAGTCGTTGACGGTAATACTAAATGGTTTTAATGTAGTGAAGGATTATTTTTTTTCAAAGAGGAGACGGGCGTTTTTGAGATATTGATAGACTTTGGAACCCGGAGTCAATGATTTTTGCTTAGCAGCTTGAGTCTTTTTTCTCTCAGATTGAGAGAGAAAACTTATGTAATATTTATCTTGATGTGACAAATTTCAGAAATAGAGCAGCTTGCATTTCCAAATGCAGTCGAATTATCAGTTCACTGCTGGGGTGACAGAATGACAAAGATCTTGAAAGGGGCAAAGGGAGTAGTCGCCTACTGAAGGTTATTTTATTTGTTTGTGAATAGGCTTTGAACACTTTTTTCATGTAATTTTAAATTTGGCAAGTAAGGATAATTCACTAAGTTTACATAAATTTATGTCTTCTGGTTGTCAATGAGAGGTTGGGGTCTTGAATTACTGTGAAAAAAAAATGATGCACCCATAAAATTTATGATCCTCAAATTCCTGTTTAAAAAACAACAATTTTTTGGTTTACTAATATAAAAACCGGAAACAGTGTTAGACAGTTTTACTTACCACATTGCATGTTTTTTTTCCATTCCAGTCCTCAATTTTGGTAGGGAAAATACAATTTTTCTCAAAATTGGACCTTGAATTTATATTTTCTCAGCTATGAGACGGTGTATTGAAAGAAATATCTTTGTAAATCTTTTCTGCTCTTGTTCCAGGTATTCTTGTGTCAAAAAGGACAATGTGTTATGTATATTAATTTCCAAGTCTCTACAAAAATGCATTTATGAAAAGTTAATTGTTAGCACAAAAGGCTTTTGAAAAAGAACAACAACCCAACTTTATAATTAGCAGAAAAGGCATTTTAATAAAAACAACAGTTTACATCTCAAGAAAAAGCATTTGAAAATACCCTGCAAACCTAGAAAAACACACATAAAAAAAAAAAAAGGTTCAAAATTGTCGTTACAGAATGATACACCCTGACTGATATATGTTACTGCAAAGGACTTAAAACATTCCTGATTGTGTAATGCATCCAAGTTTCTATCCATTCCTTCATTAATTAGTCCATTTACCCATCAAGTGGTCCATATCACCCCGTGTTCATCTACCCTTGCAACGACCCAAATATCCGTGTCTCTGTCCTTTCATCTAAGCTTTGTTTATTTTCTATACTGAACACTTTTTCCTTTGCAAATTCAGGTTGGCAATTATGCTCGCTCAAAGAACACTACCATCAACATCTTGACCATGGAGGGAGCCTCTGTTGGCCTTCAGACAGTTAAGACTGCAGCGGATGCATCTGGTGGCACCACCAATCAACTCAATCCCATGGAGATTGTTCGACAGCTCCGTTTGATTGCACAGAATGAAGTTGTGGCAACATCTGTTACTGTGCTCTTTTTCTTGCATCCCGATTTTGTCTTTGATGAACCAGGCTTTCCAGATGTAAGTTGTTTCCTCTAAAGTACAGAATTCAGAGTTTATTTCTGCAGATATTGTGCAGTGTATAGTGTAATGATTAATGGGAGGGCTTATTTGAAGTTCATATTGCCTTGTGACGGTAATTTTGATTTCTTTTGATTCGAAGGGTTAGTTTTGCTTTCCCAGGTCCACATTTCTCTAGTTCAGTTTCATTTTGTCTCGGTGCTTAACAAAAATATACGTGTATGAATTATTGAAAAAAAGTGAACTCCTTTCCTACCAGGCCAAAATCCACCACTGGCCCAGGGTTTCCCTGACCTGTTTTTATGCCCCTTCCTCACCACAGAAAAAAGTCAAAACATCCAACTAAACACACACAAACCATATCATATGGCCCATCAAACTGAAGTTTAAAAAATAATCTGTCAAATGGTGGTACAATATTGAAGATTTATTCCAATTATATTAGTTTGTGGTTTCTAACACTGATTATGCAATATCGAAGGTGTTGTATGAAATCAACAATTTTCCAGCTTTGAAAGGTCAAAACTAAAAAAGTACAACAACAGCATCATTCAAACTTCCGACGTAGGTTGCCTCAAGTCACGCAAAGAAATGCTGAATGTTATATATTTTTAGGTGTTATAGAAGTGAAAATATCGGACATATACTGAAGTCAGGGGAGCACTTTTCTGTTCATTTTTACGTTTCGAAGGAGACAGAAAAAAGCAATGTCGTCTGTCAGTACTATATTTTCTTTCATATCTGCTAACAGGAAGTCTATTCTATTATTTCGAAAACATGGATCTGCTGAGAATTTCGTGTCTTTTCATTACTGGATTGGAATAGATAGCGAGCCAGTCGAGATGTATTTTGTGGCTCTTGGTCCAGCGAGACCACGTCTGCTAGCCGCGGTAGGAAAAGTGTTAAATGGATACATAATTCTTAATCAATGTGATTTGGTGGATTTAGGTCTATGTGATATGTTGAAACTTCGTTCAACTTACTTCACCCCGTTTGGCGTTCAGTAGGTGAGGCTTAGATTCTACATGTATCACTGCTTCTATCTCATTAAGTTAAGTTTTTGTCTCTTTGCTTGATAAAAGACTAAGTGTACCAGTGTATGAATCATAAACTACAATAGCTATTTTGGAAAACAGATCAAAGAACCCTTGTGAAGTTCTGTTAGATGGACAGGGCCCATACTTTTAGATCTGTGTGATCTTTTGAGACTTTTGTGATTTGACTCACTTCTCTGCAGTTGAATTTGACGTCCAGTTGGTCTAAATTCTACTCAGTGACAGTGACACTAAGAGACAAAAAACAAGGCAGCCTAGATCTCTAGCTTACTGATGTAGAGTTGTAACTTATAGGCCTTCTGGGTTCAGAGGGCTGTGATGTTTGGTTTTATGGGTAGTCCAAATAAGGAGGGGGCTTATTTGGGCTACACATTGCCAAAGTAAGGTCCCCCATAATCAATTTGCTTCTTTTGATCTGTTGTTTTACTGAAGGACGTTGTAGAATCAAGTATGTTGTCTGATAAGGTGAATTTTTATTGAACTCTAATCAATTAAATTTTATGATTGCTTTTATAAAAAATGCAAATTGCACTTTTTTTACGCACACATTTGTGTGCACATGTACACACAACACACACATACACACACACACAAACACACACATAGCCACACACACACACCCACACATAAACACACACAAGCACACACACGTACAGATTCACATAAACACACACACAAGCACACACACGTACAGATTCACATACACACAGACGTACACATGCACAAAGGTTCACATACACAAACTCATACTCGAATACTCAGTTGTAGTGGTCTGTGAAATTTGACTTCTGAATAAGCGAAAAGCTGTTTTATCGAATGAGCATATGTTGTATGGTAGCATTTATGGATGCCATATATACATTTATTTCATTTAATTGAAGGAATATAGTGTATAGTGGGTGTACAGGTATGTGTTTTTGGTGATTGATACTTGTTGTGAAGATAGAGAGAATTTCTGTTTTAGTCAGAAGCTGTGCAATGATTTTCATGATTGTTTATATGATCATGTCGCAGGCAGTATTGGATACAGACGTAAGTCACTTGCAATACCACCTGCGATGTGATGATTATAACACAGACTGCTATTGATAATGACAGCAAAATTAAGAGTACCGTGTATTTTGAATCTGCTTTTCTTTCAGAATCTCAGCCAACTGGAGAAGGAAGTTGGATCTGTGCGAAAGGAAAGTGACTTGTCCTTCAGATTTAAATTGAAAGACCCCAAAAAGAAAAATCTGGACTCTGTGCCATTTCAGGTAATGCTTTGCTATAAACAACGTAGCTATATTTGCAGCATGATCATTTTCTTTTGAGTAATGTTGATCAAATGAATAGGTATGCATTGTTTTATTTGTATAGAGTTTTTTTTACCATATTCTGACATCTGTTATTGGGTTCTCCACAGCTACAATGAACTAAGATTTTTATGAAATTTTAGTAAGTAAAGTAAGTATGATGTGGGTTTAATGCTCCTATCGTTTAAGAAGCAGGACCTTCAACTTTAACATCGGTCTCCGATAGAACTTAGCCAAATGGGTTCAAAACTCCACAAAATGGCCTAGTTGAAGAATGCACGGCCTGGTTTGAACCAGGGCCATTCACTCCATAGTCCAGCATGATACCTACTAAGTTTATAGAGCACCCATGAAATTTTATTTTGTAAGTATCTTGAATGGAGGTTTAAAGGTTGTACTTATTTATTGACTCTGAGTAGTTTCCATTCAGAAGAAATCAGCAAAATTTATATAAATAAGGTGTCTTGTTCACCCTGTTCCTACCAAGTAAACTCTTGAGGAGTGGTTTCCCCTGCCCAACTAACTGTTTATTGGAACATTCAAGCAAAAATCCCAGTGCACTTTACAAAAAATAAGCCTGTTTATATGGCTGGGGGGGGGGGGGAGGTAAAGCTGATTCTAGACAAAATCAGCTTTTTGATGGATGTGATACCTCTTGTTGGAAAAAGTGGCTGCTGCAACAATGGGATGAGAAGATGGGGCACATATCAGCTACTCAATCTGCGTGGGGCCGAGGGCAATGGCATGCATGCAAAGGAGTTGGAGGTGCTATAGATGGGATGGGAATGCCTGCCTCTTAATTGTTATCCAATGTTTGCTTGTTACTCCATTCACAGTTCATAGCTCAATGTAAGCCAAGGTGGCATTGTTATCTCAGCATAGGAAAGACAGACGTTTTGTTTTTGTTTTTGCTGATGATGTCTTGGAGCTCTCACATTAATGCAACAGTAATGTCTTGGTCACAGTAAACATTACATCATGGCGACACATTTTTATTCCATAAGCTTAATCCAGGTGACCCAATTCTAACAAGTTTGAGTGAGTAGTCCTTCTTTGGCTGTAAAAGCTCTTTAACCTCTTCACCACTGCCTGCTCAAAGAGAATGTTTTTACTGTTATAACTGTCAATGAGTAACAATTGTCATTAAAACATTTTCTATCTTCCATTGGACAATGTAGTCCCTAACTTTTCTTGAAATCCTCTTTGCCATCATCTTGCGTCTGGCCTGTGGGTTGAGCCCCCCTGCATTCTATTTCTTCTGAGAGAGTCCCTCAAACATGCTCTCAGAAAAGGGTTTTTTGTAGCAACACTGTGCACATTCAACTCTTTGGTTCAGTGTTCACTAATTTTTCATCATTCATAGTTACTTTGAAGTGTGGCCGAGGCATTTGAATGCTGTATGATTTCTTTTTTAAACAGACAGTGAATTTTTGTCTTATTTTTCCTGGATTTTGAGCATATCATATTTAAAATAATTGAGTTTATTACAGGAGTACTTTATACTTGATGATTACGAGACAGAGTAATGGAGCCAAGGAGAGTTATAAAACATGCCTCTAAAAAGTGTTCACTACTATTCAGTATTCACTAGTCACACCAAAAATTAATGATTGACAGCTGTAGTGAAGTCCCCATCCCCTTTCAAAATTTGGTGATGAATGGTGAAGTGATGTCATCGTATCCCACTGCATGTATGCAATCATGTGCTCAGTGGATAGCACTGCGAGTAGTGAATATTGAATAGCAAATGTTGCTCATGGACTGTTATGTAAAAAAATTATTAAAAAAAAATTGCACATGGTATTTGAAGAGCATGAATAATGACTTCATACTTTGAAGTGTCAGTGAAGTGTTAAGTTTTGTCAAAATGGCACAGCATTAGTTAGTGGTTTTTTTTTAAGGAAAAGTCTTTTTTACGATAGATTTCTTTTTGGACCATTTTCTTCCGCATATGGTTTCTCTTGTATGTAACATTAAGCTCCATGTTCTGATTTATTTAGGTTCAAATCACATATACCCGCCCTGATGGAATGCAGTGCCTGCGAATACTCAGCAAAAGAAGTGAAGCAACCAGCAGCAGACAACAAATGGAAGAGGTCAGCAAAACTGTTGTTTAGATGAAAATGATTTTAAAGCTGTTGAAATTTTCAAGGTGTTTGCTTCTTGGTATATGTAGCCATATATATATATATATGCCGTATATATATATATATATATATATATATATATATATGCCGTATATATATATATATATATATATATATATATATATAATTATATTATTATCTCTCTTTGTTTTATTATTCTTTGAGATGGACACCTATTCAATAATAAATCCTCTCACGGTGAACGGTCCAAGCTGGACATAAATACTTAAGATAGAAAAAGAGAATTGTATTGCTTATATTACTTTTTCTTTTCTGTTGTTTATTCTGGCATGTTTATGAATATCCAGAGTTGATATTACTAAATTTTTACTACAGTTTGATTTAGAATTGTTGACATAAATGTTTTTCCTGTGGGCTCAAAATATTCTATGACCGTTTGCTGTTCACAAAATGTGATTTAAAAAAAATGGTGTCAGAAATCATTATAACGATAAATATATGCAATATTATTCAACATAATAATGTGAATATATAATATAGTGCCTAAACCCTAGAAGGCTCTAATCACTGCTCAGTGCAGCAATATCATTCAATACAATGACGAATCAAAAGACAATGTACATTGTGACACACATGCACACGCATGCACACACACATGCACGCACACACATGCAGGCACACACACACATACACACAGACACACACACACATGCACATGCGCGCACATACACACACACACACTCACTCACACATACACACACACACACATACACAGAACTCACAGACCCACACACATTCTCACATGCTAAAACTACTGGCAGAGGACAAGGTTGAATAAACCTGTCTCAAGCCTTTTCTTAAATTATACTATCTCTGATGATATAAAACTCATTTCTCTTGGGGGGGAGTTCCCAATCTTGGGGACATAGGAAGAAAATGTTCTTCTACCCAATTTATATAACCTTACAGTGGGCACTCTCTTAGAATTCTCGTCTGCAGATCTCAAATGCCATGATGGTGTCTGGTATGTATGACACGATAAAGTCTTTTGAGATACTGTGGTGCCTTGCTGTTCTTGCACTTGTGGCATAAAAGAGCAATTTAGTAGTTAATTCTAGCTTTAACGGGAAGCCAATGTATAATCAGACTCGCACACCTTTATTTTGAAAGTGTGCAGTCTGTTAATCATTAAAAAAAAAAAAAAATTGGTTAGGAGAGAATTACAGTAGTCAAACCTGGATTACTTTTTTCCTCTCTTGTTATTAGATTTGCTAAACTTTTGTTTAATGCTGTTTTCTTTTATTTCCCATCCTCCTGCAATGAAGTATATCAATGTATCAGTCCTGGGTGTCTCCACTATGAAAACTACGGCCAAGCTTGCTGGGAGTGGAGAAGGGAGAAAAGCCCAGAATATGTTGTGAGTGGATGTTATAGATCAGGGGTGTCAAACTCAATCGCTCAGAAGGGGGGGGGGGGGGGGGAGAGCAAACCTAAATTACACTCAAGAGTTGTGGGCTGAACTGGATAAACACTCATTCAGCAATGGAAAACTTAACATTTTCAAAACAATGATATGAATTAAAACAGATAAAAGTTCAAACAGTAACAGATCAAGGTATACCAATTTCTGCTCTTATGCCAATTTGTCAGAGCTGAATGTTTTGGCACCTTTTTTTTGGCAACAAGTTAATTTATGTTTGGAGTAAGGTTTTGTGTTATGGAGATTTTCAGGATGGACGAACCAAAATTCTCTCATGTGCCAGATTGGGCTGGATTTGGCCAGTAGTCCTTGAGTTTGACACTTGTGTTATTATAGATCTATTATTTGTTAACAGTATCTCTTTTGATTTGATGGTAAATATTTTACACCCCCTTTGGCACAATTTAGGTCATTTTGGAGGTGGCTTGCTTCAACCTGCCTAGACTGAGACTGAATGGAATATGGCATCCCAGCAGAAAGGTGGAGATTGTTGATGAAATAAACTTACCCACTAGAGAAGTAAAGTGACTCCTTCCATGCCCAATGACAATGATCCTGACCATTGCAACACATACAATAATAATGCTAACCTTTTAGATACCATAGTAACAAATAACTTTCAAGAAATGTAAAAAGTATTTGAAGAGAATTTAGTTCATCCATTTAGTAAAAAATCTGTTCTCAGATTAGCAAGCTAAAAAGACTTGGGGCCTTACAAATCTGAGCTGAACTTGTACCAAATGTTTGAACTTCTCTTAACCTTTTCCTGACGGTAAAACTTTACTGATGAGTGATGTTTCATGCTATGCTTGCAGAATATAAAAAAAGACATATTTTGAGGTTGATTTGGCAGAATATGATTCCAATTTGTCATCTTTAAAGTGGTGAAAAGTCAGATGTGTACTAATCTAATTTTTCTTTCCCATAACACAAGTGGTAAGTGTCATCTGGCATAATAATCCGCCCATGTAAATTGAGACTATCTTCAACTGTTTAGCTAATTTTATATGTCAATTGTTCTAGGAAAAATGTAAAGCGCATGGTTAATCGTGGTGCCAAAACTTTGGAGCAGTGTGAGGAGAGATTAGCCTTCAAGAGTGAAAGCAGTGCTTGGGATGTGCAGCTGACTGAAAACAATGAAGTCTATTGTGTAAGTATTCATTTGTTTTTTAACTAAAATTTTGTACTCTAAATTGATGGTATTGGTAGTCTGGTGGAAAGGCAACTGGACTCACAATTGTGAGTATAGTTTAAACATAAACACCCACCTCTTGTAGCAATCACCAACCGCAGGATGCCCATCGAGAAGTCATAAATTGACATTTCATGTGATAGCCTACTCTACTGTCCCTATCTAGCACCGTATGCTGACCAACTTGCACTGACTGGTGACAATGCTCTTGTCCCTCGACTGCCACTTACGCTCACGAGGTGACAGTCCGTGGCTCACTCTTCTTCAATGTCAAATAGGTACTTGATTACTTTTCCCGAAATAAACCAACTAACCACAGTAAGGTTGTGGGTTAGGGGGTTCGAGTCTCAGGTCCGATGTTGGGTTGTTGGGAAAGGCACTTTGCACATATTTTCCTCACTTCACCCAGGTGGGAATGGGTACCCTACCATAGACAGACATCTTGTCAGTATGTTAGTGTTTTAGTGCCTATAAAATGGTAGATTGCACTGTATGCTTTCTGGGAAGTTAAGATTGCTTTAGAATTCTAACTGGTCTGCTGGGGTAGTAATAATATAGATTGTAAAGTGCATAGAGCTTGCTGTTGAACGGGGATTGGGCTCTATACAAATGCTCTTTTTTATGATTATTATTATTATTATTATTAGATTTTCGTCTTTTTCTTGTTCATCTCCAAATGGACATTACAGTTTAACTTGGTCAAGGCTGCTGTTCTCTGCAGGTCCTCCAGGCTCCTGTAGAGTTTTGAGTCAGCCTGGCTAGGTTTGGGTCGATATTTCTTTCTATGTGCTTCAAGCATTGGGCAGTCTGACTGAATGGATCGTTAGTAGTTTATTTGCAATCTGTCTGTGGAGCACATACTGATGAAGCCATGGGACCAGTGGTGTAGGATGGTGCCGGAAAAGGGTGACACCGAGCCACTCACCTGCAAAGGCCAAGTACTCTCCTAATCATGGCACTTGTCCTATGATTTCTTTTGTGTTTGGACATGCACGAGTCAATACAAATAAAGAGGCAGAACCAAAAACAAGTGTGAAATCTCAGTGTGATCATTTGATTATCATTTCATTAAATTTCCCCGTCGTTATGAGATCTAATGTTCTTCTATATGTATAAAACATAATATCGCGGGTGAACATCTGTCAGACAGGTCAAGTGCTCACAGGTAGCGTGACTGGGGTCAGATAGGCCGGCAACGGAGTGGAACAGTCGTGAGCAACACATGGAGCCAATAGATCATTGGTGTCATCTAAAAATAGAAAACTGGGAACACCATGTTTTGCGTTGTTTACAATCGCTATTTCAGGCAAACAGTAAAAATTGTTCAGTAATCTCAAGTGATCTCCCTTACCGTAAGCCGATAGTCACATTCTGCCCGGTTCTGCCAAAATGTATCTCTTCAGTTTTCTAGAATAGCCCAAAGATGTCACGAAAGATCCTTGTATTGGACCACTGCCGTCATTAGAGAGGGACAGCAGTGATTTGACACTTTTATTATATTATTATTGAAAGTTTTACGGAAACTGGAAAATCTACAATCTGTTATGTGACAAAGTAAACATAGTAATTATTGCGGATAATAAGAGAAAAGTTCGGGGGGGAGGGGGGGGGGGGGAGGGGGATGGTGGTGCATGGTGCCTTTGGCCCTAACCTAGCACTGCCCCTACAAGTGACTTTGCTAGCCAGACATTAAAGAGTGCAGGGATGTAATTTGCAAGGGCTACATTCCTTTCTTAGTAATTTGTCAGATCTCAGGACCACATGAAAGTAGCATGATGATTCCTCTTCTTTTAATTCATGGCTTTTGACTGTTTTGATCATTATCATCAAACCTTTTCGATTTATGCCAGAGAATGTAAGTGGTATGATACTACAGTAACTTACCTCAGTGCCTAACTATATCCCTGTTGTTCTTGTTGACCATGTATGGCGAACTGTCCATATTGGGTTCAAAGTTTTCTAAAAATTCTGCCTCACTATTGAGTGTATTTTGATGATTATGATACTTCCACTATATAGACTGTATAAATTCCCTTTTATTTACAGCAGATGTCAGAAGTTTAGTACTTTTCATGTGTTTACTGTAACTTTATGATAAGCTGTTTTAGAGAGAAGAGGATGGAATTCGAAGTCAAGGAAAAAAACCACCCAAATAGCTAGAAAGAAAGGAAATGTAAACTGCTACTAATTTCATAACGATTAATTAATTTTTCTTTGAAGTTCGATAGCTGTTTGTTGTGAGCTCGGCTACTTTTGTCTTCATGTTAACAGATAATTGTCAGAGTCTGTGCGTGGCAAAATATTGCTTTTATTTTATTGTTCTCACACCCTGCTCACTACAGTTGAATGTTTTGTGAAAATGATGAAATGGTATAGGGTTAACACCCCTATCAACACTGTTCGGTTATTTAAGAGGGGAGACCTCTGAGTTTAACGTCCATCTCTGAAAGGACCGAACCAAGTGGGAAATTCGTGTAAAGTACTTCTCAAGGACACCACGTCGGACCAAGCTGAGGCTCGAAACCCAGAACCTGCAATCTCACAATTACGAGTCCAGTAACCTAACCACTAGGCTACCGACGCCATCTGAACATTTTGGGTAAAGTAGTTTATTTGTAGAATGCAGATGTCTATTGACTTTTGGTGTTTGAATAAATGTAGAAATCAGCAAGCTCAATTATTGAGCAGCCAATTTTCAAGGCAAAAAGTTCTAATTTATGTAGAAAATGAGGAGCATTCTGTAAAATGGCTAATTTTGTGTTTAATATCTGTTGGAAAGAGAGATTTCAGTTCACAGAAATACTCAGCAAACATAATATATGTTTTGAGTAATTTTGTCTTGGTAGATAAAGGATTGGTGGGTTGGTGGAAGGACAAAATGCCAAGGTTTAGTATGGAGAGGTCAATATTGAGGAATGTGGAATGAGGGGAAATTGTGACCAAGTAGCTGAGAGCCAAACTGAGAAAAGCCTAACTATATCCGTATTTCCGTATTGTTCTTGTTGACCTTTTATGGCGAACAGTTCATATTGGGTGTTTAATGATATGTTCAGACTGATTAATTGTGTCACGATGCAGTGGAATCAGGTGCTCGTCAATTTTTGGGCATGTGGAATTATTGGTATCCTCTTAAAGCTTGTTCATTTGTCTGTCTTTCGATGAAAAAAGCCCATCTATCTTGAATAGAAGTGGAGATATTTGCTATTGAACGAGATGGAGTCGCCTGATTTCAGAGGTAACGTTCGTGAGAAAATGGCCACCAAAGTTTAAGGATTTTCAAAGCTTGAGAGTCCTCGGAAACTGAAAACTTACATTTTTTGGTGCTTTTAATCAACGTCTTTCAGTAAAACCCACACAGAACTGTGTTTTTAAATGGACATGAAAGGTATTGAGCTAAAAAAAAAAATTCGATAAGGATTTACAAACCAGCGGGAAAATGCCAATATCTTCGATATCAATTTTTACGAGCGCCTGATTTGACCAGGATGCCTCACAATTCCTTTTTGCCTACATGGACTTGGCTTAGGCCCTTCTGTTATTAATGTGTTTAATTTGACTCTGCTCTTGACATTTCTACAGTTAATGTGCTTTTTTTCTATGCTCAAAATGATAACCATAAAAATGTATATAGCACCTTATCCCTAAAAGATTCTTAGCACTGCACAATGCAGAATTATCTTTCAACTTCTCTGACAAATTAAAGGACAGAAGAAGCACATTGTGAGACCATTCACCAACAACAACAATAAAAACAAAAACAACAACATCAACAACAACGACAGCACACACTCACACACACGCACCCACACAAACACACACACATACACACCCTCACCCACACATACACACACACACACACACACACACACAACTCCCACACCCACACACATTCTCACATACAAAATGACTGGCAGAGGATAGTGTTGAACAAATTTAATCTTTACACTTTTCTTAAAGTGATGCTGTTAGTGTTGAACAAATTTAATCTTTACACTTTTCTTAAAGTGATGCTGTTATTGGGTTTTTTTCCTTTTCATTTCAGGGTCCTGGCCTTGATGACATACATACAGGTTTGGCCCAGAGAAGTTTAGCTACAGTCATGAGTAAACACGTTGCTGCGGGGAAGAAAAAGGATCTGATAGCCAAGAGAAAAATGCCTGAAAAGTGCAGGGACGCATTTTATCGTTATAAAGAAGATTATTAAGGTGTCCAAAGTAATGCTCAATTCTTAACAGATCAAGAAGAGCATCTGTTTTGATTCTTACGACAAGATTGGAAAGTTGTATTTAAAAAGATAATGTTGTTGTGCACGTTGAAAGAAAAAAAATGAAGTGCTATGTTTTGTTTTGAAAGTTGATCTTTTTTACTGTGATGTTGTTGAGAAAATTGTTCCTCATATCTGACGGTTGCTGTGAAAGATATTCGAATGTGATCTATCCTGTAATGATGATATTAATTCCCCTGCAGTACAGGTTGCTTTTTCTTTCCAGTTCATATCATGACACTATGTTTATGTGATTTTATTTTTTTACATAAATGTTAAGTCATAAATATTAAAATTTATTACAGTGTTCTAAAAAATCCTGCACTTTTGATCAATTTCACATACATACGTTCTCATGAAATTTGCAAAAATTGTCAGACTTTCTTTCTATTTAAATTGTTTTATGTCCCACAAAGAATTATTGTTCATTAAAAAATTAGACGTTGTTTACTGTTATAGGTTTCAGGAATGTGGTATATTATGTGTTAGTTTTGTTCTCTGTTTTTTTAAAGAGGATTGTCTGTGTCTCTGACTCTGCAAGATTAGATTAGGTCTGACAGTCACAGAAGCCATTGCAAATAACAAGAAGAAAGGATTCTGCGAAAAAAAAGAAACCCAAAACAAATTGACTTCTAAAGCAATAACAGAAAAACATGCTTCAGTCTGAGTTGTACCATTGGTTATTTATTGTCTTTTCCCCTGTCACTATAAAATTGTTTTCACCTGACATCAAAATACATATGTGGTAACTGAGTTATTCATATTTTATCGAACACTCTTTCTTGATTGAAAGGAATAACAATCAGAGAGTCCCTTAGGTACTGTTGTTACCACCGAGGTCAGAATGAAATGTCCTTACTGCCCTGCACCCACAGTTTTATTTCCTTGAGTTATTTTCCTTGAATGAAGCTCATTGTGGTAATTAACAGATGGTGAAATACCTGACTTGGACAAACTAGCATGTTTTCTACAAATTAGATTGAAGGAGATGGAATAGATACCAAATTAGAGAAATCATAGCCACACTGTAACCAGATTCAGAGACCTCAAATGAGTATACACTTTACTGTAGGAATATAAAAATGTAAATTGATGCGTTTCCTACAGTTTTGCTTTTATAGTGATATATATGTATGTTTATTTTAATCAGTGTAGTTTAACCACTATTTTGAATGTATTTTTTAATTTCTGTGTTCACATTCACATTCCAGTTCAAACTGAACGAGATGGAATAGATGCTAATTAGAGAAATCATAGCCACACTGTAACCAGATTCAGAGACCTCAAATGAGTATACACTTTACTGTCTGTAGGAATACAAAAATGTAAATTTAATGTGACTGTACAGTTTTGCTCAAGGAAGTGGTAAGGAGAACAAGACAGAGCCCAGTCAGAGATGAGGTTCGGAAGAAGGCAGTGGCGACAGATTGGACACACTCTCAGGAAGTTGGGCAGCTTCATAACAAGGAAAGTGTTGGATTGGAACCCACAGGGTAAAAGTTCAAGGGGAAGACCATGTGGAACCTGAAGAAGAGTCACCAAAATCGATGTTCAGAAAAGTGGGAAAACATATAATAACATCCATAGGCTAGCCAGGGATAGGGACAGATGGAAAGTGTTTGTTTGTGGCCTATACCCTGACCCAGGGTGAGAAAGGCATTGATGATGATGATTACAGTTTTTGCTGTTATTGTAATACATGTATTTTATATTTTTTATACAGTATTTTATACAGTGTAGTTTAAACACTATTTTGAATGCATTTTTTTTTGTTTCTGTGTTCATATTTTTACATTCCAGTTCAAAGTTCCCAAGGTCTAAGTCTGTATGAGCTTGCCGAACCATCAGCTTGAAGTTCAAATTGAATACTGTGTTCTACTTAAGATTGAATATATAGGTATTGTCAAATCTCTGATCTACTACAAAGTCAGAAAGATGTTTTGCAAAACTGAATTTCATTTTCCAAGGAAATTGTGGAAAACAGTCAGGAAAAGACAGTTGCAGTTACTTGGACACTTGGAAAGATGTAAAGGCCTTAAACATCTGGCTCTCACTGGCAAAATTGAAGCTAATGAGGAAGGGCTTGACTCAGAGCAACCCACCTGGAGAGCATAAATTATAGATAGGGGATGGGGGAAAGATCAGGGTAATGTAGCTTTTTTGAGAGCATCCGAACAAATGAAAGAATAGTGAACCATGACATGATCGTCGATGTCTGTCACAGATCTGGCATTTGATGATGATTGTGAAATTATGGAGACTTGCTAAAGGACTGTTTTGCCTTTGATGAATACCTTTACTTTATTACTGGTATGTACCATGATAACATTATTGGGTATATAATTGATATTCTTTTTGCCACGTGCGGACAAGGAACAGATATTCTTAAAAAATTTTTTTTTCTGTTTTCTTTAAATTTTTGGAATAAAATTAATTGATGAAAAAAGTCCATGGTACTTTGTGTACTCATTTCCTGTGGTGAACATTGTGGTACGCTTGAGTATACTGTAAATGGGTTGTGATATGTTGTTCATAAAGGTTGTTGCTGTTGGTGGTAAATATTGTTTTTGTTGTTGAATGTTGCTGTGCCGTTATTTGTTGTTGCGGGTGGTTGGCGGGTGCTCTGATGTAGTTTGCTCCTTCTTTCCTATCAAAAATCTATCGTCGTTATCTCCCCTCCTTCTTTTTTATGTTTGTTACTCTCTTGTAACACCTCTAATCTTCTAGCACTCATATGACCTTATGCAGTTGCAAGCACTGTAAAACCTCTACCAAAACAAAACAAATGTTGTTGTTGTTGTTGTTGAATGTTGCTTCTCCGTTATTGGTCGTATATGTTGCTGTTCAAGGGACCCACAAGCAAATGACAGTGGAGTAAGTGTCCTATATGGTGTACCAAATAAAAATATACCACCATTTTTCTAGGTATATATAAATGTATTTAATTTGCTAAGTACTGGACATTCGATCTATGATCAGTTTCTTTGCAGAATGCTTTCTTTGAGTGCGCACATTCATAAATCTGTTTAGTTTCTAGTTAGTTTTTGTTAGTGTTTTACAGCACTTGCAACACAATAAGGTTATATAAGTGCCGAAGATTAGAGGTGTTACAAGAGAGTAACAAAAACGAAAAAAAGTAGGAGATATAAGGACAACAGAAGTTCCATGAGAAGGAAGGAGCAAACCACACCAGAGCATCCATGCAACCACTCAACCCGCAGATTCATGATGTGCTCTACTCTGCAGGAAAAAGGTGAAGATAGTCAAAGATTTTGGGGGGCTCTCGTGGCCTAGAGGTTAAGGTGTTTGCCTCTCATTCAAAGGTCCCGGGTTCGAATCCGGGTAGAGACGAAAAGTTATCTTCTCTAAAATTGTCTCCTTTCACTTCCTATCTTGTTCTCTTGCAATTTTCTGTCGTCTGCTTTCGTCTCCACTTTCTGTCACCCACCCCCTCACCTCCTTTGCCCCCTCCCCTGGGCTCCTGACTTTTTCTGCAGCCTTTCTACTGCTACTCTTTGGCTCCCTCCTACTGCTTTCTTTCAGCCACACCTCTGATCTTCTGGTAGGAAAGATCCACACCTGGTCTCCTCGGACAAGGGCGATAAATCTCGGAGGTCCCGTGTTCAAGTTGCGCACGTTAAAGTAAAGATCCCTTGGTGGTTTAAAATCGATGAGAGTAGGCTTTGGCCGTCACCCGGGCTAAATTCAAAATTTTCTACCAACTGAAAATGTTGTCTCCAGTTGCGAGCGCCGTAAAACATTAATTAAACCCCCCCCCCCCCAAACAAAGCAAAGCAAAAACAAAAAAAGATTTTTGGTAGAACACAAGCAGCGGAGCTTTTATTTATGTTTTAAATACAATTGCATGGTAATCTGGTACATGGATCGGGGTGAAATGAAACAAACGCACAATTGAATAATTACTCAGTAATTATTATTTATAACATCATGTCAATAGTAATAGCTAGGCCTACCACGTACACACCTTAAAAAAGTCAAACACAAAACGAGCAGTTGGGAAGTATCGCCATTCCTTTAAAATGAAACAAGGTTCGACAATTACTTTGTTGTGAGAATATGATATAAGCAAGAAACTGGGGTTGATGGGATCAGTGTTGGTCCTATGAAACAAGAAAAGGGTAGGCCTAGAAGCTGCCTGCTTCAACTAGGTCACTAATATGGCTAAAATCTTAACATTTTTGAATGTTGTGAATCCTTGGGTGTAAATACATGTACAATTTAGTCTATGACGGAAGCGTTAATAATGCTAAAAAAAAAAAAAATACCAAAAAAAAGGAGAGGTAGGGGTTGGGACCTCGGTTATTTTTATTTCAGCGCCAAGTAGTGGTATTCATAGTGTAAAAACTAATCTACGGCTTCTGTACATGTTATATTGGAATTAAAAGGTTTAACGCTATTACAATATTGTCCATGCATGCGGAAAAGATCAACAGTTCTTCATTGCAAACTCATGATATTCAATATGACAGCTATATCAGTATGAAAATGAAAACAATCCCTTGTTTCTTCTGTCCTTTACCTGTTCCACGGACTTCTTTACGTGGCAAAAGTAAGAACTACATGTATTTTGGAAGCAACGAACAGATGGGTTAAGAAATATCAAGAAGCGGGTAGGCCTTATGGATTATTAATAAAGAAGAAGAAGGAGGTAGACGTTTGAGTAGGATGGAAAAACTTGGGGGGGGGGGGGGGGGGGGGGGGGGAGAGCAAACCTAAATTACACTCAAGAGTTGTGGGCTGAACTGGATAAACACTCATTCAGCAATGGAAAACTTAACATTTTCAAAACAATGATATGAATTAAAACAGATAAAAGTTCAAACAGTAACAGATCAAGGTATACCAATTTCTGCTCTTATGCCAATTTGTCAGAGCTGAATGTTTTGGCACCTTTTTTTTGGCAACAAGTTAATTTATGTTTGGAGTAAGGTTTTGTGTTATGGAGATTTTCAGGATGGACGAACCAAAATTCTCTCATGTGCCAGATTGGGCTGGATTTGGCCAGTAGTCCTTGAGTTTGACACTTGTGTTATTATAGATCTATTATTTGTTAACAGTATCTCTTTTGATTTGATGGTAAATATTTTACACCCCCTTTGGCACAATTTAGGTCATTTTGGAGGTGGCTTGCTTCAACCTGCCTAGACTGAGACTGAATGGAATATGGCATCCCAGCAGAAAGGTGGAGATTGTTGATGAAATAAACTTACCCACTAGAGAAGTAAAGTGACTCCTTCCATGCCCAATGACAATGATCCTGACCATTGCAACACATACAATAATAATGCTAACCTTTTAGATACCATAGTAACAAATAACTTTCAAGAAATGTAAAAAGTATTTGAAGAGAATTTAGTTCATCCATTTAGTAAAAAATCTGTTCTCAGATTAGCAAGCTAAAAAGACTTGGGGCCTTACAAATCTGAGCTGAACTTGTACCAAATGTTTGAACTTCTCTTAACCTTTTCCTGACGGTAAAACTTTACTGATGAGTGATGTTTCATGCTATGCTTGCAGAATATAAAAAAAGACATATTTTGAGGTTGATTTGGCAGAATATGATTCCAATTTGTCATCTTTAAAGTGGTGAAAAGTCAGATGTGTACTAATCTAATTTTTCTTTCCCATAACACAAGTGGTAAGTGTCATCTGGCATAATAATCCGCCCATGTAAATTGAGACTATCTTCAACTGTTTAGCTAATTTTATATGTCAATTCTTCTAGGAAAGATGTAAAGCGCATGGTTAATCGTGGTGCCAAAACTTTGGAGCAGTGTGAGGAGAGATTAGCCTTCAAGAGTGAAAGCAGTGCTTGGGATGTGCAGCTGACTGAAAACAATGAAGTCTATTGTGTAAGTATTCATTTGTTTTTTAACTAAAATTTTGTACTCTAAATTGATGGTATTGGTAGTCTGGTGGAAAGGCAACTGGACTCACAATTGTGAGTATAGTTTAAACATAAACACCCACCTCTTGTAGCAATCACCAACCGCAGGATGCCCATCGAGAAGTCATAAATTGACATTTCATGTGATAGCCTACTCTACTGTCCCTATCTAGCACCGTATGCTGACCAACTTGCACTGACTGGTGACAATGCTCTTGTCCCTCGACTGCCACTTACGCTCACGAGGTGACAGTCCGTGGCTCACTCTTCTTCAATGTCAAATAGGTACTTGATTACTTTTCCCGAAATAAACCAACTAACCACAGTAAGGTTGTGGGTTAGGGGGTTCGAGTCTCAGGTCCGATGTTGGGTTGTTGGGAAAGGCACTTTGCACATATTTTCCTCACTTCACCCAGGTGGGAATGGGTACCCTACCATAGACAGACATCTTGTCAGTATGTTAGTGTTTTAGTGCCTATAAAATGGTAGATTGCACTGTATGCTTTCTGGGAAGTTAAGATTGCTTTAGAATTCTAACTGGTCTGCTGGGGTAGTAATAATATAGATTGTAAAGTGCATAGAGCTTGCTGTTGAACGGGGATTGGGCTCTATACAAATGCTCTTTTTTATGATTATTATTATTATTATTATTAGATTTTCTTCTTCTTCTTCTTCTTCTTCAAATGGACATTACAGTTTAACTTGGTCAAGGCTGCTGTTCTCTGCAGGTCCTCCAGGCTCCTGTAGAGTTTTGAGTCAGCCTGGCTAGGTTTGGGTCGATATTTCTTTCTATGTGCTTCAAGCATTGGGCAGTCTGACTGAATGGATCGTTAGTAGTTTATTTGCAATCTGTCTGTGGAGCACATACTGATGAAGCCATGGGACCAGTGGTGTAGGATGGTGCCGGAAAAGGGTGACACCGAGCCACTCACCTGCAAAGGCCAAGTACTCTCCTAATCATGGCACTTGTCCTATGATTTCTTTTGTGTTTGGACATGCACGAGTCAATACAAATAAAGAGGCAGAACCAAAAACAAGTGTGAAATCTCAGTGTGATCATTTGATTATCATTTCATTAAATTTCCCCGTCGTTATGAGATCTAATGTTCTTCTATATGTATAAAACATAATATCGCGGGTGAACATCTGTCAGACAGGTCAAGTGCTCACAGGTAGCGTGACTGGGGTCAGATAGGCCGGCAACGGAGTGGAACAGTCGTGAGCAACACATGGAGCCAATAGATCATTGGTGTCATCTAAAAATAGAAAACTGGGAACACCATGTTTTGCGTTGTTTACAATCGCTATTTCAGGCAAACAGTAAAAATTGTTCAGTAATCTCAAGTGATCTCCCTTACCGTAAGCCGATAGTCACATTCTGCCCGGTTCTGCCAAAATGTATCTCTTCAGTTTTCTAGAATAGCCCAAAGATGTCACGAAAGATCCTTGTATTGGACCACTGCCGTCATTAGAGAGGGACAGCAGTGATTTGACACTTTTATTATATTATTATTGAAAGTTTTACGGAAACTGGAAAATCT